TAGGAAGGAAGAGGATGGGAGGGAAGGGATGCCCAGTCCGAGTCTGGAAGGGAGCGGGCCCAACTAGGGGCTGATTTGATAAGGCTACAGAACAGTAAAGTGGTGAATTTCTGTTGTTTCCAGCCACCTAGTATTGGCACTTTGTTTTAGCAGCCCTGAGAAACTAGTGTGGTGATGGGGCCTAGCTTATTTATTTGTTTATTTATATATTTATATATTGAGTGTGTGTGCATGCACGTGCGTGTGTGTGTGAGTGTGTGTGTACATGTATTTTAACTGTAAAGAAAACACACTCACAATTGGTTACATTGACAAGAAAACATAGAAACTCTTATTATTTGGCTATGTTTGAACCTGTAACTCAGTTCATTGTGTTAAAAGCTAAGTTTTGAATGGAATAGCATTGAGATGCGGAGACTTCCCTGTCTCCCTGGTCGTGAGGGCTGTGCCTTCGAGGATGGACAGATGTCACTGCAGTGCTGGCTTTATCTCGAGTGGGCTTGAGTTTGGCCCTCTCTTGCTCCTTAGTCTTGGGCTGTTGCCCTTCTCCTTCTTCCGTGGGCACGGCACAACACAAAAGCTCTCACCAGATGCCAGGGGTATGTGCCTGGACTTTGCAGCCTCCACATCCATGAGCCAAATAAGCCTGTTCTTTATAAATTATCCAGCCTCAGCTATCCTGTTGCAGGGGTAGAAAATGGACTAAGGCAGAATCTAAGCCATGCAAGCGTATTTATTTTCTTGGACCTGACACTGCATCTGCACGCTTACCTCCCGTTACCTGCCACCCATTCACTGTCTCAGCACACGGCTCCTGGCTATGCCTGCAGCATGCAAGCTGTGCCCTTCCCTTCCAGCCTTGGTACTGCTGCTTCCTCTGCCCGGAACCTGCTCAGGCCAAACCGCGACTCCCAGAATCGCCTCAGTGAGAGCCCCTTACAAAGTCACACTGCAGTTGGGATCAGCTTCCCAAATGCTCACTGCCCCTCACTCTCCTTTAATTTCCCCCTTCCCCATGTTCTTACTAGATCCTAACATCCTGTACCACATTCTTTCTTGCATCATCTACGACATCTCCTTCATTCTAGGACATTATCTCAGGCAGGGCCCTGTGCCTGTTTTGTTCACAGACACGAAGGAGCATCCAAACAGGGTCTAGTTTGCTGGAGGTGCTCAACAAAGAACTATAAAAGCCGCCACATATATATATGCTCTACTATGTTCATAGCAGCATTGTTTGTAATGGCCAAAACCTGGAAACAACCTAGATGCCCTTCAATGGAAGAATGGATGAAGAAAGTATGGAATATATACATATTAGAGTACTACTCAGCAGTAAAAAACAAGGACTTTGTGAATTTTGCATGCAAATGGATGGAAATAGAAAACACCATCCTGAGTGAGGTAAGCCAGACCCAAAAAGAGGAACATGGGATGTACTCACTCATATTTGGTTTCTAGCCATAAATAAAGGACATTGAGCCTATAATTAGTGATCCTAGAGAAGCTAAATAAGGAGAACCCAAAGAAAAACATATAGGCATCCTCCTGAATATTAACCTTCATCAGGCGATGAAAGGAGACAGAGACAGAGACCCACATTGGAGCACCGGACAGAAATCTCAAGGTCCAAATCAGGAGCAGAAGGAGAGAGAGCACGAGCAAGGAACTCAGGACCACGAGGGGTGCACCCACACACTGAGACAATGGGGATGTTCTATCGGGAACTCACCAAGGCCAGCTGGCCTGGGTCTGAAAAAGCCTGGGATAAAACCAGACTCGCTGAACATAGTGGACAATGAGGACTACTGAGAACTCAAGATCAATGGCAATGGGTTTTGGATCCTACTGCACGTACTGGCTTTGTGGGAGGCAGTTTGGATGTTCACCTTACTAGATCTGGATGGAGGTGGGTGGTCCTTGGACTTCCCACAGGGCAGGGAACCCTGATTGCTCTTTGGGCTGACGAGGGAGGGGGACTTGATTAGGGGAGGGGGAGGGAAATGGGAGGCGGTGGTGGGGAAGAGACAGAAATCTTTAATAAATAAATAAATTAAAAAAAAGCCGCCATTCATTTTAAGACAGTCACCCACCTTATCATGATGAAGCTACTCACATGTGTTGCAAAAGTAATTATCAACAATTAAAAGCTTCACATTCCCTCCATCAACTAATGTACAAGTGGATCTCAGCTTCTTTGACTCCCTCAGAGGTCCTGTCACACGAGGAGAAATGCCACGACAGGGGTAACAACTCTTTGACCAAAGTCTGATGAGAGGGATAAGTGTAATTGGGTGTCTAAATATACAACCCTTGCCATGAATAATGCTGATGGATACTTCCTTTGACCTCTTCCACCTTTTCCCTCTGCTTATCTAAGGTCAAGAGAGTAAAATGACACTGTTCTTGGGAGGGAGCCAAGTGGAGAATGTCCCCCAGTCTCAGCACGCTGGAGATGAGTACTGAGTACTGAAACACAGTGTCATGTTTATGATCCCAGATTATCATGAGACAAAAGCCTCCGTACTACCCCACAACATGGTATATCAGAAATAAAGCAATAAAAATAATAGTGATGCACTTATATGTTATGCTTCCTGATGTGAGAAGTCCTTCTGTCTATGTGTTGCTTTTATTGGTTAATGAATAAAAAAACTGTTTTGGCCTGTGATAGGGCAGAATAGAGTTACGCGGGAAAACTAAGTAGGTGGAGTCAGTGAGAAGCCACGTAGCCGCCAGAGGAGAAAGATGCAAGCCACTAGCTAGAACCTTGCTGGTAGGCCACAATCCTCATGGTAAAATATAAAATACTAGAAATGGGTTAATTTAAGATGTAAGAGCTTGCTAGGAATACACTAGAGTCATTGGCCAAGCAGTATTGTAATTATTAAAGTTTCTGTGTGAATATTTCAGGCCAGAGCAGCCAGGAACGAATGAGCAGCCTCCGCCTACAGATTGGCACACCAAAGTGGGGCTGATTACATCCACATAAAACCTGAAAAGGCTTGGAAAGGAATTCTAGACACAAAAGAACAGAGTTAAGCATGGCTTCTTGGTACCTGGCATTTTTTTTTTTTTTCAGATGAGCTGTTTGCTGGTGGCAAGCAGGAGTTCTGTGGCTTCTTTAAGAAAAGGTTTACTGACTCAGTATAAGAAATGACAGCTTCCTGGTTCATGCTGCCAGCGCTTAAATGGGGTTGTGAGCAGCGTGTTACAAACTGCTTAATGGTGCGACATAGATCTGCTGCATGCCTAGAACTGAGGTGGTATGCATGGCTCACAGAGGCAGTGAACAGACCTCTGCTGTGTTGGACTGGGCAGAGCCAAAAGGCAAAGCAGCCTTAGTCCTAGCCATGCTGCTTAGCATTTTAAAAGTTTTCCTTGTCAGAAAATAATTACAGTTACACAATAAAGACAGATTCAGACAGAAATAAACCTCTAAATGGGCCACAGTGTTGGACAAATGTACATAAGCTTGAGAGAGAGAGAGGAAAAAAAGGATAGAGAGTAATAAAAGTACAGACAGTCATAGATTAAAGGGGTAAAGATAATGAAATACATATTAAACTTATAAAAAAAGTAATTTGAGTAAGAAAAATAAGCCACATAAAGATGAAATAGATACAGAGAGTCTGGATTATGCATATTATTGTGTTTTCTTTGAATTTTTTGACTGTGAATAAGCTAAGTACAGAGAGACATTTAACTGTATGGGCTGCTAAGCTAAACCAACATATATATTTTAAAAGTATCTTGACTTCAAAATTTGGATCTAAGGATATGTTGCTTTGGAAAAGAGGTTCTGCTTTTGTTTCCACAGAGGATGAGAACCTGTGGATTCTTTTTGTGGTTTGATCAAATAAGACTCCTGAAACAATTGCCCAGATGGTCCAACATCCATGACAGCTTTAGGACTGCTGGCTGAGACGAACCTACCATACAGGATACCCCATGACAGACCTGATAATCAGTGTCCCCAATCAGCAGAAAGTATTCTAGACAATAATGCCCAAATTCCCTAAATGATTGTTTATAAATGTTTGTTTACATTTAAACAAATATGTTATAGATATGAATACTTTGCATTGGTATGAACTTTGGTCTATTGATACAAATTTTAAGTCAATTTTGTTATATTTCTGCTCTTGATTAAGGTATTGTGTTTGTGTAGCTCATTTAAAAATGTAATGTATAATTAAGAAATACAGGTTAATAGAAAGTCATCTATAACTGTCAAGTTTGTAGTCATGTTAGGTTTTCTAGATACATAAAGATATATTTCAGTTAGATAAATAATATTCAAACCTTTCAAAGACCTAAATAATATGACATTCAAACTGTTTTAGGAACTTAGACTTTTCATGACAATGAGACACATCTGCTCCTGGCAGCACCAATCTACTTCAAGAGGATGATGGGCATCAAAGAGGCTCCTTACAGAGTTTGTTATCCATTTGGGCAAGAAACTGCTCTTGCCTGGACTGCTTGATGGTATGCTGTATAAACTGGACATGCAAGACCCATAGAGAAATGACTGCTGAACTTGCCTAAAGGTGAGACAGTCCTTTGGGGTTCCTGCTTCATGAAAGAGTCAGTCAGACATTCTGCCAGAAACAGCAGAAAGTGACTGACAAACTGTCAATATATAGGCAGAACTGACTTTGAAGTTTCCTGCCTTTTGGAAAAATCTGCCAGATACTATGGGCCTGTAGGCCGAAAATGGATGCCTGCTACATTACAGAAGAACTTTGTGTCCCTGTGTTTCTTTGTTTAATCAAACATAGGAGTTCAGGGAATATAAGTGACTCGTTCAAGTTTATTCAGGTGGCGAGTAGGAAGGCCGGGAACCAGAAGGATTGTGAGTGACAAAGATCGCCAACCCCATATTTAGCGACTGCACCCTGTCCATTTTACAGTCCCACTCCCAGAAAAAAAGAGACATTCTCTAGTTGCTTCTCCACAAGCGACTTCCCCACCAGTGCTCTATGCAGGCAACTTACCGTTCTGAAGGGACACAGATCCTATTGTTGCTGGATAATTCTCCACCAAACCTTTCTTCTTGCAAAGAAGTAGACCTGCCCTTGGGGGTATGTGTGTCAGGAACCGGGATGCAACACCGGACACCCTGGGGATCACAGCTCTTGGGAACTGTTGAGAAAAAAGCAAAACAGAAAGCTGTTTTATGTCTTCATCTTCTCAGAAGCCCTCAGCATGTTTCTCAACCGAAATGAGTACAAAAGAGGTGGGCTCTGTTTGCTTGCTTTGCAAGACTTTTAATTAGGTTTAGGTAATATTGCACTTCATTGTGTGTCCTACATTTTATTGCAAGGCTTTATCATATTAATTAGAAACTTACTGCTTTTGAGGAGACCAAAAGAATCTCATCAATGAGTATTGGTGTTTCTGTATTCCTGTACACAGCATTTCACACTTACTATTCAAGGGAAATTAGTTAAACTTGGAGGAGCCAGGGGCTCAGATTCAGTGCAGTGGAGAGTGAAGGCAGGGCTCACCAGGTTATCTCTTTCCCCAGAGGTAGGACACCTTTTCACCCAGATCCCTAACAGATTTAACAAGGTTAACATTTCCTGTGGGCCGGACATGTACGGATCCTTCTAGCTCTGCCTAGATAGACAGCATGACATATAACAGTGGCTTTTAACTGGGAACTCAGAGGGAGATGTCCAGAGGAAAGCCACAGTTTGGATGGTGTCCTTTGAAAATCCAGTAAAATGGGACAGAGACAGTAAGAAACCACTCCAAATGGGTCCAAACAATTGTATAGCCTAACATATCAGACTAACTTCCCACCGAATGCAACTGACACTCAGGTAAAAATCATCTCCAAATGTGTTTGAAAGCATGGTGGTGGTATGTCTGTAATCCAAGCAATCAAGTACACATGCACGCATGCATGCACGCGCGCGCGCACACACACACACACACACAGACGCACACATGTGCACCAGCACCAGTAGCTGCTGTCACGGTCAAGACATAAAGAGGTCAACATACTGAAGACAGAGGAGCAGACAAAACAGGTCAGCACCGCCTTTCCTTTCACAGTATCTGTGTATTTTTCAGAAACACAGGGCAAGACTCCTGGGAATCCCTAGAGAAAGACAGGTGAAGGAGATATCAGAGAGAGGGAAAAGCTAAGTACAGAGAGACATTTAACTGTATGGGCTGCTAAGCTAAACCAACATATATATTTTAAAAGTATCTTGACTTCAAAATTTGGATCTAAGGATATGTTGCTTTGGAAAAGAGGTTCTGCTTTTGTTTCCACAGAGGATGAGAACCTGTGGATTCTTTTTGTGGTTTGATCAAATAAGACTCCTGAAACAATTGCCCAGATGGTCCAACATCCATGACAGCTTTAGGACTGCTGGCTGAGACGAACCTACCATACAGGATACCCCATGACAGACCTGATAATCAGTGCCCCCAATCAGCAGAAAGTATTCTAGACAATAATGCCCAAATTCCCTAAATGATTGTTTATAAATGTTTGTTTACATTTAAACAAATATGTTATAGATATGAATACTTTGCATTGGTATGAACTTTGGTCTATTGATACAACCGCCCAGTGTTCTGCCTCTCTGAGCTGTGGGTGAGCAACTCCACTGAGCAGGGAAAGGTGAAACAGCTCTTGGTAGTTCCATGGCGCCAGGGAAATGACAGCTACAGTTTAGAACCTGCCACTGAAGAAAGCATAAACAAATAGATAAACAAACAATCTCCTGGCTCAAATGAAGACCTAAACAGTATTCAGCTCAGCCTTATGTCAGTGTGGTGCCTGGTGTCTCTGACAGCATGATTGTTAGAAACAAAAGAAAAAGGTCTTGGGAGAAAACAAAACAAAAATAACCACACAGAAACAGTCTACACTCTCTAGGATGTTTTATACATAAAATGATGCATTCAGTCAGCAATGATGAGGTGAGGGGCTGGAAAGATGGAGAGATGGCTGCTCTTCCAGAGACCCTAGGTTCTATTCCCAGCACCCACATGGAAGGTCACAAGCATCCACAACTTGGATCCCAAGGGATCTGCTGCCCTCATCTGGCCATTGTGGGCATTTCATGCAGATGGTGCACAGACACACATGCAGGCAAACATGCATACTCACAAAATAAATAAATAAGCAAGCTAACAATGGTGAGGCAATACCAGAACATGGCATCATGGGGAGAAAAAAAAAAGAGAAGCAACAAGACAAACTCTGGAATGTTCCAGAGAGAGATGAGGATATGATTTTTAAGAGGCTGTGATTAACATGGTCCAGTTTATAGAGACTGGAAGGGACTGTGACACACACCACATGGCAGCCTACACAGCAAACTGAGTAAGGATGAAGACAGAGGTCACACTCACGGTAACCTTTAGTCATCTACGCAGCAACACGGTGCCTGAAGATTGTGATCACATACCCTCTGGAGGCAAAAGTCAAGCCCATACAGACATGAACACACAAGTGGGACTCAGGAAGCAGGCCTACAGAACTTTCAACCAATGAAAATAAATCACAATTTGTTTTAAAACAAATTATCCTGAAATTAATTTAGAGATTAACAGGAAGTTATGAAAATGACTGTTTTTTCACAATTGAGGTAAGATTTGCCCACAGTGACATAGACTGCTGGGGAGTGGCACATTTGATACATCATTGGTTTGGAGACGGGGTCTCACCTTGTGACTCTGGCCAGCCTGGAACTCGCTACATGGACCCATATGGCCTGAATTCACAGAGGCCTGCCTGCCTCCATTCCTGGAGCACTGAGATTAAAACTGTGTGTCATCACACTTGGCTCCTCTTGGTACATTTTTTTATAATGAACCCAACTCTAGAACCATCAAGAAAGCACAGGACACTTCCACACTTGAAGAAAGTTCCTTCGCGACCCTGTCAGTGAAGTCCACATCTCCCTGGGAATACTGACACCCCATGACCACAGTTTCTCCTGAGCGTCCCATGATGGATGTGAGTATATGTCCTTGTGTCTGGCCACACGCACCCAGCATAGGGTTCTGAAAGTCACCTGGGCTGCTAAGTGCATCGACAGTTTGTTCTTATCTGTTGCTGAGAAATATTCCTGGCATGAAGACACCACGTTTGTGACACCTTCTCCTGAGCACGGGCATTTGTTTCCAGTTGGGGACATTTCAGACAAAGGTGTCCACTCCTCTACCTGCTTTTTGCAAACATTTATTTTGCTTTCTCTTGGGAAAAATGCCTTACCCTAGCCACCAGGTTACAGGTTGAGGGGTACTTCACTCTAAGAAACTGCCAGACATTTTTGTAATCTGGCCACCCCACTTTACATTCCCACCAATAATACACGACAGTTCCATTTACTCGGCCTCAGGAACACTTAGGCGCTGCCAGCTTCCATTCCGAGGCATCACCATGACACCTCTAACTGTGTCACCAAAGGACAAATAATTCAGGTTTTAAATGGGCAGAGGAATTCAGCAGACAGCTCTTTAAAGAAGAGACACACACCAGTGTGCATGTGGAAGAGTGTGGCACCATTAATTCAGGGGTGCAAGCACACCTTGATGAGATGCCATGTCACACCCGCAATGAAGGCCACCATGGAAAGCACAGACAGCCAGTGCTCCTAGAGGTGTGGAGAAGTTAGACCTTCTATGTGGATTGTAAAATGGTATGATTTCTGCGAAAATAGAAAAGCAGTTTATCAAAACATTAAAAATAGAATCACCATGTGATCCAGACATTGCAATTTTGGGCATTTTAATTCTACAAAAGAATTAAAATAAATTTCAAATTTAGTATTTCAAATTTTAGTTATTAAATTATATACAAGATAGGGCAGCATTTTCATAGCCCTGGTTGGCCTGGAACTCTATCTATAGACCAGGCTGGCCTTGAACTCATAGAGATGCACTTGCCTCTGCCTCCAGACTGCTAGGATTAAAAGGTGTGTACTTGATTGTAAATAAGTTGTTTTTTAAAAAATAATTACAAACTTTAACATGTAGGCAAATTCACAAGTGAGATTTGACTTACACTACTAATGTACGTTTCAAAAGTTTTAAGTCTAAATATTTTCTTTAAATTTCTTGCCATTTAGACAAAATAGTACATACGAAATCTCAGATAAGTCTCCTATCTATTATCCAGACATTAGCTGAACAGAGCTGGTCCCATGGGTGTCCCCTAACTGTCAAAGTGGCAGTTATAAGTAGCCAGTTCCCTGGTGGAAACTTCCTCCTGGAAGCCCCTATCTAATGTCCCTTCTTACATCCACAGGGGAGCTGGGAAACATGTTTAGAACAGTCTGTAATTCAAGCATGGAAGCCAGGTATGGTGGCATTTGGCTGGGCATGGTGGCACAGGGGTGTAATACCAGCCACAAAGGATGCTGTGGTAGAGTGGGTGATCCAGATGTCAGAAGACACACAGAAATCCGCCTTCTCCATCTCCAGCCTTCCCCAGCAACATCTGGGAGAAGGCATATGTGAAAGATCTACTGAGAACCATGAATGTGGAGGCTTGCTTGGACTCCAGAGAAAGTTCCAGGCTAGCCTAGATAACAGTGAGACCCTATTTCAAAGTTAATAAAAGTAAAAATAAAATTTCATGTATGTATATAACACATACACACACAAAGAGCGGGGGGGGGGTATAGTTTAGTGGTGAGACACTTGCCTTGTGCATATGAGGTCCTGGGTTCAGTTCCCAGCACCCAACAACCAAGCCTAACCAAACACCCCTATATCTAACAAAGAAGGTGGACGTGCGTGAGCAAAGCAAAGGAATGACGCCATAGTAAAGCCCGTGCCTTTGTACACTAACCAAATACTTAGAAAAAAAAACAAAAACTAATAGAAATATCTGAGTAGTTTTTCCCCCTAAATATGCACAAAGCCAGTAAGAAAGAAACAACACATTAGCTGACAACTTGGAGGCACAGGGACAAGCAACACAAGGAAGAAAATCTGAACTGAGAGGGAGGCTGAAGGGGACGCCCTGAAACATAGTGGGAAGCAAATCGCACAACCCGCTGTTGCAGGACCACCCGTGGGGAATGGGGACAGTCAGGAAGCCCAGTATAAAGCCCTTTCCACAGGGTCATTGCTCACAAGAGATGCCTGTGACCTGGCAGCTGAGAATAGGG